GCAAATGCAAGCGATCTTGGCAACTGGCTCGGTGTGAAAGAAGGTTTATTCAATTTCCGTCATTCGGTCCGGCCCGTACCATTGGAAATCTTCATCGATGGATTTCCAGAACAACGCGGTTTCTGTCCGCTCATGCAGTCTATGAATCGGCCAACATTCCTTGCGATCAAGCAACATTCTCCAGAGAAGCCGGTGATTGTTTTCGTAGCTTCACGTCGGCAGACACGACTTACTGCACGAGATCTAATCAACTTTTGCGGCATGGAAGATAATCCCCGCCGATTTCTACACATGTCCGAAGATGATCTTGCTCTCAACCTTTCCCGAGTCAAGGATGATGCATTACGTGAAGCTCTTAGCTTCGGTATCGGTTTGCATCATGCTGGTCTTGTAGAGACCGATCGTTCCTTGTCAGAAGAGCTCTTTGCCAACAATAAGATTCAAATCCTTGTTGCTACTAGTACTCTTGCCTGGGGTGTGAATCTTCCCGCCCATCTAGTCGTCGTCAAAGGCACGCAATTTTTCGATGCGAAAACTGAGGGTTACAAAGACATGGATCTTACTGATGTCCTTCAAATGCTAGGTCGAGCTGGTCGACCCCAATTCGACTCTTCCGGTATTGCTAGGATCTTCACTCAAGATGCAAAGAAGGAATTCTACAAACATTTCTTGCACACCGGCTTTCCTGTGGAATCTTCTTTACACAAAGTGCTAGACAACCATCTTGGCGCCGAAATCTCTGCTGGTACTATAGCCACGAAGCAAGACGCTCTCGACTACCTCACCTGGACGTTCTTTTTCCGTCGCCTCCACAAGAACCCTTCATTCTACGGCCTTGAGATCTCAGCCGAAGAGCATAACACCATTGCTGCTCAAACCATGGCAAATGACTACATGGTCAATCTCGTCGAAGCATCCCTCAACGATCTCGCCGAATCATCCTGCGTTGAACTGGGCGGCACCGGTGATATCGACGCAACCCCGCTGGGTAAGATCATGAGCTACTACTACCTCAGCCACAAAACAATTCGATATCTTGTGAAACACGCCAAACGTTCAGCGACCTTTGCCGACGTCTTGTCGTGGGTCTCACATGCGACTGAATACGACGAACTCCCTGTGCGTCACAACGAAGACCTCATCAACGCGGAACTCTCCAAAAACCTTCCCATCCCCGCCGATGACTTTGGTCTTCCTATGTGGGACCCGCATGTCAAATCTTTCCTCCTTCTACAAGCGCACTTTTCGCGCATCGACCTCCCCATCTCGGATTACGTCGGTGATCAGAACAGTGTGCTAGACCAGAGCATTCGTATCGTGCAGGCGTCCATAGATGTGCTTACGGAACTCGGCTATCTCAGCAGCTGTGAAATGATGATCACTCTCCTCCAGGCCATTAAATCTGCGCGCTGGCCCACCGATGGAGCCCTCTCCCTCTTCCCAGGGGTTATTCCAGAGCTCGAAACCAAGCGCCTCCAGCACCCCAAAGCATTCCCCAAAACCCTCGTCGAAGCCTCCACAGCGTCTGCGCCTCTTCTCGAGAAAGCAGCGAGATTCGCGGGCGTATCGAACGCGGCCGCTATCAAGCGCTTCCTCGAACCCATTTCTCGCTTGCCCGTGCTAAAAGTCAACCTCCCCAATGTAAACGCAGTCAGTCTCACCGTCGTGCTAGAGCGAGCGAATGCAGCGCGGGTGCAGCAACAAGGCGGGGTCAGGATCTATGCGCCCAGATACCCCAAACCCCAAACAGAAGGCTTCTTCGTAATCATCTCGTACCAAGGAACTGACGAGATCATCGCGCTGAAGCGCGTGGGGTGGAACGACCAGACCAGAACCAACAAAAATCCCCAAACTGGCCGTGGTGGCCGCGGTCGCGGAGCTGGCGGCGGGAGCGGCGGCGGAAGAAACGCAACTGGCAATCCCCAGAAACTGCAGGGATCAGCAAAAATATCGCTTCCTGAGGAAGCGCAGGGTAAGAAGGTAGATGTTCGCGTGTTGAGCGATGCGTATCTAGGTATGAGCTGGAAGATTGAGGGTGTCGAAGTGCCTGAGGCACCTAGAGTAGAAGACGGTGGGAAAGGAAAGGAGAAAGATGTTCAGATGGAGACTTGATAGATAAAAGTCCATAGAATTACGTATTTGAACACTTGGTTCACGGTTTATATGAGTACATATTTTGATGATGGTGGTGGTGGTACAATGGGGATGAAAGGCCATCCAACGTCTCTTCGCTTGCATTGTTACACCACCGTACGTTCAAATAACCTTAAATCGTCCTTGTGGCACACGTTACTCCGCACAGACTTAGATGATCGTCCCGTTACCATGGTATAGAGGAATCCGCCGAACTAGTAATCATCTGGTCTAATATCTACACCATGAAATAGGAATTTTAGGTCTACATAGCGATCGTTACTGTCGCGAGTTGGTAGGGGGATTCACACCTTGCGTGTTGGGAGATTGGAATAGGCATTATTCATCAGCAAGTCGTAATATAGTTTTAAGTCAACATTTGTTTGGGGGGGGGGGTGTGGTGGGCCCAAAAAAAGGCAACAAAAGACTGGACAACAAAAATCGCGAGCCAGCTATAGTACCATAAGGCACAAAAAAGGGGTGTCCAGGCAAATCGTAATAAGCGGAGGCAATATTTTGAACCTCTACTTTGCGACTTTGCGTTGAAATAAAGTTGAGCGGAACAGTATCGTCCCTCACCGGTGCGGGGTGGGACTGACAAGGAGTTCAGTCAGACAACCAAGAAGTCTAAGCCTTTGGTGGCGGTGCTGCATTCTAGCCATCCTCTTCGTCAATTAAATACTCGCCAAAACGTCCCCAAGAGCAGTGGTCAGTAAGCATCGTTCCAATTCATTCTTGCGCCGATGGAAACTTTCCAGCATGCCCCAATCAATACGGGGGCGCGGCAAATCAGATTACTCAATATTTCACCTACAGCTGATGATGATACTCTTCGATGCTGGATAAAAGTCTTCGACTTGGACGACCTGCTCACGCCCGATTATCGAGCCCTGTCATATACGTGGGGTCCTCCTCCCGCCCAATCCGTCATGTTACTAAACGAAAAACCGTTTCTTGTGCGCGACAATTTATACAATTTTCTGTATAATTTCAGGGCCAGGCTGGTGGAGTATGCGGGCCAGAGAGGCTTCGAGGAAGAGGTGCAATGGCTCTGGATAGACCAGATCTGCATAGATCAGAGTACAACAAAAGAGCGCAATCATCAGGTCGAAATGATGTCTGACATTTATCGCCGGGCAAATTATGTCTATGTGTGGCTTGGTGCACCGGATGAAGCTACGAGGCGTGTAGTGCAGGCAATTAAACTCAATTTCCGACTTCAACACCACCACAAGCACCGATCACGCATGAACGCGGACGTCAAATCTTCAATCAATGACGTCGAAATACCGTCTCTATCGCAGCGTGATCTTGATTCATTCTTTAAAAATCCATACTGGGAACGACTGTGGATTGTTCAAGAAATCATGCTCGCCCGGTATATTCGCATCTTCTACGGAGACACGATAGTGTCGTGGGATGAGCTCAAACGATTCTGCACGAGTAAAACCAGGACCTATCCCTCCACGGAAAACGTTTCCATCTCAGAATCGCTGCTTTGGCTGGCTCATAATGCGCAGACGGGCAAAACCTTTAGTCTACCATATCTCATCGATATCTTCGGTCAAAATCTCTGCGCCGATCCTAGCGACAGAGTGTATGCTCTACTCGGAATCGTCAACCCCAACGAAAGAATCAAAGTCGACTACGGAAACTCCTCAAGTCTCATGTTCGGTAAAGTAGTCGAGAGGCTTCTTCCCAGGGCGCCTGAATCGCACTCAATGTTCTTCAAAGCTGTCGACGAACATCACCACGAGAAGAAGTCGCGGGAAGACATTTTCATCGATATGATGAACGAAGCCCGGCAAGAGAGTGGGCTGCGGTTCATGGATGCCATAATTACACTGGCATCGCAAGTGCCGCAAGTGCAGTTCGAGTTCGATTCTTTTAACAAGCGTTATGTCAGAGACACCGATGATTGGCTCAAGAGTCTATGGGCCAAGGCCGCTCAAATGGAGTTTTATGATAGGGATTACGAGCGCTTGGCAGCAAAATACGCAGAAATTGCTCGTCGGGCGCAACAATTGTTGAACCAAACCTTGAAATCTTCAACAGATCTACTCCTGAAGCATTCTAAACTCACAAAAGAATGTTTCAGGAGTAGGTCTGCTTCAAATCTGGTAATAAATATGTATGCTGTTCTCTAGCGGACCATGTCACCATTTTATACGTGAAGCTGTTGTTAACGGGGACGTCAATATAAAATGGATTGAAGGAACAGAAAACACAACAGACAAATTGATGTTTACGAAAGCACTTCACAGACCATCATTCGACCGTATCAAACAACAATCAACATCAAATAAGATGCCACTTCAGGTGGGGTACCCCATTTTTTCCCCCTTTACGCTTACGAACACATTTCTGCATGAGATTTCAGTTTCAGGGGGCCCTGAGGTCATGTGACTGGGGTATCAACCACCAACACAAGTCGCTACTGGTTCGAACTATAGTTCTCCGTAATAAATCATTTGTGTGTTTATCGCACATGTAAATGGCCTGTAGAACCATCCCTTAGTCCTTCCGCATTCGCTACATTACGAAGCCTTGCACGTCATGCACAATCTCCAGCAGTTCAACCCATTGCGATAGTTGCCAAAGTCTATTTCCCCTATTTAACTGCGGCATCAAAAATAAATTCGTCGTGTTACATAGCCATACCGATCAGATATTCGAACGCCCCACACCTCCGCAATCGCTTAGTTGACGCCACACAGACCCCACATCTTACGAGATCGTTCGAGTCATTCATGTCCTGCGTACAAGCACAATATTCCTAGAAACATCCATACGACTCCTTGTTCCGTTAGAGTTTCCTACATAAATGCATAATTTTGAAAATTTTGCTATCATTCAGCTCAACAAATGGCTTCATGGTCTAGTGGTATGATTCCTGCTTTGTAAGTTCTCATTCATCCATCACTTCTGTACAACAATATTCTAATTCAGCAACCAGGGGTTCACAGCTCAAACCTGCAGGAGGCCCCGCGTTCGAATCGCGGTGGAGCCCATTCTATTCTTTTTGGCCTTCTTTTGAGGCTGAGTCTTTTTTTGGTGTTTGGGTGGGGTCACTGTGGGTGTGAGATAGGTTGGGGGCGAGAGAGACAAAGAGGGGTAAATGGAAGAAAGCTAGTACACTAACATTGAATGGAACGGCTTTTCTCTATTTTATCTAGAAGATCAAAAAGGCGTGCTTGCAGGGTTAAGATGAATTTGTGCTGACGTGAATATATGACCACGTGATCTGCTCTCGGCGTCTGATCATCATTTTCCCGGCCTGCTCCTCCTGACTTCATCCAATGCCACTTCCTGAAGCATTGGTCACATCCTAGCTGACTACTAGATTCCTAGAATAGTCAAATTACACCACCCTTTTTGTTTCCAGCGCACATGTGTGCGCGCTCGCGGCTTCGACCTTGACACCCTCCCATAAAGCCTCCTGAAACAGTTCCCTCACCATCCTCCCACTCGCCGGATTCACGGAGGTGACATTCCTCGGGGGTACATTGCTTACATCCAAAGCCAGTACAGCTGCCGCTCTTGCTGCCGCTTTGGTATTTACCTCCAGTGCGCCCCAATTGATGTTATCGTACGTGTCGCACACGAGATGATAGCATGGATCCGCTGGAACCCCGCCACCGGTGTGAATCCCCGAACTCGGGATGCCTAGCTCCAAGAAGCCTACATAATCCGAGCCCGTGCCGAATGATCCAAAGTACGCTGGTTTGCCTTTTGCCACGAGGTAGTCGAGAAGTAGCTGCGCGCCGACTTTATCGCCGGGATTGTCGCCGGCGTAGATGCCATACACAGGCTCTATAGAACCAATCATATCGTAGTTGTAGTAGAAACGGATCTTGTCAGCTTCGCTGGATGTAAGACTTGAAGTGTAGAATAGGGACCCAACTAGGCCAGCTTCTTCGGCACCCCAAAAGGCGAATCGGATTTTGTTCTTGATACCACGGAATCCTCGAAGCGCCTTGATAATTTCGATCTGCGCGGTAACCCCTGAGCCGTCATCGTTAATACCTGGTCCTGCCTGCACAGAATCCAGATGCGCGCCAAGCATGATGACGTTGTTTTCGTCGCCTTCGGCGGTCTCAACGAAGACGTTCCAGGTTGAGCGGGGTTCAAAAATGGAGTCCACGAGGAGAGTCGCGGTCAATGTTTCATTGGCTGAGATGCGAGAGCGCCATGATTCGCCTATCTGCAGAGAAATGAGGCCAACAGGGGCATTGAGACCAATGTTTTCGGCTCCTAAGGTTGCGGCGTTGGGAGTGCTGTTTGTGTTGTGGAAAAGTATGACGCCGAGTGCACCTCGAGTTTTTGCGAGCTTTAGCTTGTCAGATATCGCGCAAGTGCCTCGTTTGACCAAGGCAAGTTTTCCAGTCACGTTGACGCTTGTCCATTGGTCTTCGAAGCATCCTGAACCTGGACGATGTTAGTTTTCTCTTCTCACTGCGGTGGTGTGGTAAGTAAGGGGTGCTTACCTCGCACATCGTCAACGGGGAGAGCTGCCAATTCTCCTGTCACACCGCCTGGAAGCGGTGTGGCGTTGTTGTACATCAGGGATAAGACTGGGACATCCTCACCGTCTGGCCCCGTGACTGATATGTTGCGCGTCTCTTCATAGGTATGGTTGAATGTCTGGGTCCAAGTGGTGAAAAAGCCATCGTCGTTCTTTGAATCTTTAACCTGTGAGAGCACATAATCGGAAGATGCTGCGTAGCCCGTGGTACCGTAGGCTCTGTTACCGTTGTTCTGCTGCCCAATGCTATCGAGCTCGAAAAGGTTCCGTTTCAAACTGCACATCCACATAAGAATACACTCGGAAAAGAGGCGCAAAGATATCTCTCTCACCCTTCTTGCGTAATGACCGCTTCCAATTTTTCTGGAGTTAGCTCTGTCTTGTTAGATTGCAATGATGCCAATCCTTTAAGCGCACTCGATAGCACCACAGACAGAAAAACGAAACGCTTCATGTTGAGCAAACTAAGCAGTCACCTCAGTCAGAAACCTGGCGTACAATTGCACGAAGTTTAAATCTTGGGAAATTCCAAGTTTATCAGCAACAGATGTTATCATCGCCAAGCAACATCCCCGCAGCAAGATTGGCACGCTTTCCGCGAAATGCGAAGATACGGTTCGCGTAATGTTATATTACCTTCCTACATAGGCATACGGCCGTTCTCGACCTCTCCCGCTGTGGGTTGCGAGCTTTGCAATACAGTTGCTGTCATGCACGGTCCGTCGTACAAATTGTGTGTGTGTGTGTTTTCTTTTTTTTTATTCTTTTAGTTTTTATCATCTAGCGAAACCAAAGGTACGAAATCAATTTCAAACCAGCGCTCAACTTGTCCGAGGTGATATCGTTACAATGTCTCACCACAGATATCGAGATACAACAGCGGAGAGTTAGAAATGATAAGTTCTCTGCTTTTTACAATGTATTCGAGTTTACTCATGCTCGCAGTGTGCCAACCTCTATCAGACTACCAAATTTAATCAGCACAAAGATGGACCAGCTTGTGGTCAATAGTATCTAAGTAAAGATCAAGAAAGACATCCGCGTACTATCTCGATATACATCCCCGCCAGAACGTACATGTCATCTTATGCCTACCGCGATCCGTGGTGTACCAGCCCCCCAGCCATAATATCCTATGTGAATACTTGGTGTAAGCCTCCAGACCAGACATGAAGCAACATCGTCGCTAGTTGGAACCGCAAACATTTATTTCGACAACCTCCCTCAACTCAAAAAAATGCTATCCATTCCCGGATGCCGGCGCAGTGGGACCACGATCACCTCACTGGTTTGGGATTTCCAACGCGTTGGACGATGGCCATCAGTCGAGCTCGAACTTCAAAATCCTAGACAAGGTTGCTGATAATGGCCCGGCAAATTCCCACATCTACACACTATCTACCCTGCCTGGCTAGTCGACCGAAACGTTGAAAGCCGACAAGTTGCAGCAGCAGCGCATTACGGCCATGATTCACGCGTGACACGAGGCGACACAATCGAAATTCAAGTTGTAACCGACGTCCGCGGTTTGGAAAATGGGGGAAATGGAAAACATGCAGCTTTCAAGTTTCTAGATGGGGGTAGTTTTAAAGTTGTTGATATACTAAATTTTAAGGGTTTGGTATAGGTACGCTTACTATGTTAGTGCTATGTTAGTAGGAGAGCGAGGAGTTGAATGGCATTGGCTGTGGGGTTGTTAGCATAGCAATCATTGGAATTTATTGGCATTAATGTAGTGGTAGCAATTCACCCTAAGTACAGTGTACAGGTTGTCTGAGTCAATGCTCTTTTCCCACCTCCCTCCCTCCCCTCTCTTTCTGCATAGGTACAAACATTTGATGTTTACACTTCTTTCTTTTTTTTTTCTTTTTTTTTTTTGTTTCTTTTCTCTGGAATAACATCCGGTTTTTCGACGAGTCTGGCTGGGACTTGTTACATCCTGTATAAGGGGGGATGGATAGGTTACAACCTGCTTTTTTAATTCCCTTAATTTGGAGTTTTCCAGTGAAAGATGCGAGAAGTCGACATTGCCGTTTCAGATATAATAATTCCCATGATTGGCCGTGTTAAAAAAAAGTTTGCCGACATGCAATAGATTTGCGAATTTTTCGTAGAATGCTGGCGGCCAATCTTCAAATTTGAAGTCCTGAAACGAGAAAGCTGCATTTGACAGATCGAAGAAGGAGCCTAAATAAAATACATGGTTTTCGTCAAACGCGAACCTTTCCCCTCTTTCCTTCCTTAATAAATCTTTCTTTTACCCCCAATCTCCCCCCCAAAAAAACGCCTAAAATACAAACATTATAAAAACACAAACATCCTAAAAGAAAGCACACCACCCAATATACATGCCGGCCAACCGCGCGGGATCCATCGCCTGCGAAATCAACCACTCAACATACCCCTCAACGCTGAGCTTCAAACTCTCCCCCCTAACCTCTCCCTCCACCTTGCCCCTCACCATCTCCAACACCTCCCTCGGCGTCTCAGGAACGCCCGGAATCCTCTTCTTCTTGCGCGCCTGGCCTCCCACGAAATCCGTCGTAGGATCGTGCACGAACGTCTCCAGGATGGTGATGAGCGTGTCCAGGTGCTGGCGGAGGAGGGAGTATGTGATTTCGGAGGTGGCGCGAAAGGGACCTTCGACGCCCGTGGGACCCATGGCGTCGACCATGTTGTGTGTGAGGCGGAAGGGGACGAGCTCGGGTTTCTCGAACGTGAGGCCCTTGTCGAAGAGGCAGTTGAAATCGACGTGGAAGGTGCCGCCGTTGCCTTCCTCGAGGAGCACGTTTTCGCCATGGCGGTCACCAAGCCCCAGAACGTGGCCTACGATGCTCATGACGGCGCATGAGCGCATGTAGCGGAGGCGCGCTGCAAACCAAGCTTCGGGTTCTGGGAACGCCTCGAGGAACCACTCATGCATCACAGGGGGGAAGCGGCGCAGGATCTTATGCGTGAAGATTGGGGTTTTAGAGGGTGATGACGAGGCTTCGTTTAGGAGGGTGCGGATCTCGCTGTAGTCGATGACTACATTTTTCTGGCGGTAGAGACGGATGATGATGTCGCGCATAGGTTTAAGGCCCTCAACCCATTCAATGGCGCCGCATTCTTCGTTGAGTGGAGTGACGGCGTAGGTCTTGATGTAGAGTCGCCGCTTGGTAGATTCTGTGTCGCGCTGGAAAGCGCGGTTGATCATTGCGTTGAATTCCATGAGGCGCTGGTCCTTGCGGAGATCATCTTTAGGCTTGCACATAAGCCCATACGAGCGTCCATCAGAGCCCCTCACAACGAGTTTACGCGGCCGTTGCAATGAGGAGAGCACAAGAACATCATCTTGAAATTCGGAAATTGTTATGGTTTCTTGGGGGAAAGGATTATGTGCTCGGATCATTCTACTGTCATTTCCTGAAGGAAGTGTGAGCGTCATGGCCGCTTCGATGGGAACAACGAGAGCACACGGC